CCCTAATCTCCCCCATCTAAGACTTGCAGAAAGAAAACGACGATGACCTGCAGAAAGGATGTATTAACACTTCTCACCCAGATTTTCAGGTACGTTTGCACTGATCCCCGGTGAGAGCTGGTTTGCTCATCTGGTTGGCAGCATTAATACTGATTGTCTCAGCTGAAGCTCTTGGTGCTGGGTACCACCAAGAGTGGAGCATTCCAATGGAGGCCACATTCAGCTACCCACGCAGAGTACCATGAGGCACTTCGGCATAGCTAGGGCCTGTGAGTGGCACTGGTACATGTCACACAGGGCTGATAAGAGACCACAACTGTCTACAGCAGCAAGGGGAAGGCAGATACATCGGTGGTCACTTCTAACAAGCTGCTCAGGGGTCAGGGGAAAGCCTGATAAGGACATTTTCTAGGGGAGAGGAACACAGGTCAGCACAGGGGCTTTGGCCACTCACTCAGTTACAGCAATAACTGCTATTTACAGAAAATCTGTCCCACTGCTCACCCAAATCTCCATAAACACTGATCACAACTTCCACCTTACCTAACTGCAGAAACAAACTCAGAGCTGGGAATTCTGTTTCCTGTTCTGATCCTCATAAATGGCTCCTGTGTAAATAGCAAACCTGGATCCAAACTCCCCTGAATTCTTAGGGAGAGTCCCACGTTTAAACTATTCCAAACTCCAGACCTGACATTTACTCACACAATTGCACTTTGCCAACATTTAATAAATGGATTTAAAATGCCTGTCAAAGCCCTGGTAGTCACCTAAGGACAAACGTCAGACCTAACACCCAGTCTTCTGATCACCATGCATACCCTGATGTGTAAAGAAAGAGGAGGACAAATACACAATGACACTGCCCAAGTATAGAATCCTAGCTTTTGGCCAACTCTGAGGATTTTCTGAGACAGGTGTTAGCGACTCATCTCTGTGTCTCAATGAGCTTTTCCCCCCTGACTAATCATTAGCTCAATTCCCTCTTGGTTTCATCTTTACAACACCCAGTGTCAGCGAGTACTACGCTTCAGCAGTTCAGGAGGAGGAGGGTGGAAAACCTGAAAAGAAAATAAATTTCCTTGGAAAGAAAATAGAAACCCATTCCAAGAGAAGGGGGACATAAAAAAGTGGCATCAAAATTGGTCTGTCTCTTCCTGCAAAACAGTCTTTTTAAAAAAAAAAAAACAAAGGGCTGGTAGATGAGACAAGGGGGAAACTATGTCATTTGAGATATTTTACATGAGTGTTTTTGGATAAATAGTGCTTGGACTTGAACCAGTTGCCCACACCATCATCTGGTGATCTTCAGATTGTCCAGGGGTATCCCATCTGAGCTTCAACTGAACGGATGTCGCTGTATCTACTGAGGATCTGTGACATTATATTACACGAAAGCCTAAATCCAGTTCTGAGGCACCAACATCAAGGGTTCCCTTTTGTCTCCATTAAGGTTTGACTGGGAGATCTTTAAGACCTGAATAGGATGACCTCTCAAAGACAGAGCTTAGCAAGCAAAAAATTCCAAGGCAAAAGATGTAAATGTGGTAACATCAAAATACGTGTTTCTAGTTTTGCCTACCAGAAACACATTTCATTGTGTTCAATTTTAATGAATTCTTTTAAAAGAACACTGATTTCAGAAGGATATTTGGCTCAGTAGGACCTTTTAGTAGCACTTTAAGAAGCCTAATCTGAAGATCAATTTTCACTGCATAATGAGATGCATTTTTACTGTCCATTTGTCCACACTGGGCCTGATACCACAGCCCATGGGGATGACGGCTTGAGTTCGTTCTGGACAGAAGACACAATCTGGAAGTCAAACAGGGAACAGGCTGTTGCCCACAGCCTGTAAAAGCTGAAGTCTTTGAAATGGAAATGGAGCTATTTTGTCAGCTGGAGAGGATCCATACAGTTCTAGTGACTACCAGATTAATTCTGATTTACAAGCAAAGATGAAGCCTCTGGTGTTTATTCCTTATGTATATAGAGAGTAGCGTTTCAAAGGAGAAAAGATGTTACTATGGCAAAGTGAGTTTTCCTAGAAAAGAGCCTCTGTACTGTATCTAGCAAAATACACAATTACTCATCAAGGACTTTCTTGTTATTATTGGAGCTCTGTGTCAACAAATTAATTTCTCTCAGAACTGGACAACTCTAACAAAACGCACACATCAGTTCCATAAATGGACTGATGAATATACGTAACGATGACAGACAGTGCAGCCTTTTTATTTATCTTCAATCTCACTTGATATTTTATTAATTTCTGTTTATACATGTTTTCTGCTTCATAATGGTAAATAGAACTAAGTATTTTTCCCTTGATATTTATCAATAGATAAAATGATTCCAAAGATGAGGTCTTGAAGATAGACTAGACCAGATTATTTCTTATTCTCTTACTTTTATTTATAATGGGCTAAGAATATCCTTGTTGCCAGAATAAGACCCTCTCCAACTGCAGATGGGAAAGAAGTAGTTTTCATATCTTGCCAGGGCTCTGGAAGTTTCGTGTTTCCATTTCTAAACTGAGATGAAAATTCAGAGCCCCCAGATGGA